AGAAACTATATCCAGTGTAGCAAGGTGGAGAGACATCTGCTACTCTCCTGCATTGTTGGCTAAATCTCACATTGGTTTTTAAAAAAAAAAAAAAATTCTGAAAGGCAATTTGGCATAAGTATCGAAACTGAAAACATGCCCACCTACTGACCCAGCAACTGACCAGCTTGGAAATTAGCCTAAGGAAATAATCATAAATGAGCCCAAAGATTTAGGCACAAGGATAAGTAACTGTGGCAAAAGAGAAAACATTAGAAAATTGGTTAAATAATATACATACAGTTGAATACTCCGTAGCCACTTAAAATGAAAAAGACATGAAGCTGTCTGTGCGTCTTAATAAAGCAGGCTAGAAAATAATATGTATAATATGATTCCACTTGTTTGTGTGTGTGTGTGTGTGTGTGTATGTATTTGTGTGTGAGCTGTAATCACATCAGTGTTACAGGAAGTTTTGTGTGGGTGCTGCGATTATGGATTATCTATTTTCTTCGCTCTTCTTTTCTGGTTTGGTGCTTTTCGTTTTGCCATTGCATGTATTTCTTTATTTTAACAGGAAACAATAAAGCTGTTTTTGACTTTTCTGTTGCAAAAACAAAAATCAGAATCAAATCCAAAAAGCTGACACTGAGCACTTCCTATCAACTGGACAGGGCGAGGTGGTGGCAGAAGAATCAAGCATAGTGGCATTAGAAACCCAGAGCCGGGATGAAAATTCTTTGGCTGGCAGGACCTGATGCCACAAATGATTCCCAGCTGATACACAGGCTTCACACACCATACAGTGAGGCAAGAGGGCATGCAATAAAGAGCAAAGACCGGGTTCAAGTTCATTTCCCCACTTCCCACACTCAGCTTCTTTCTTGCAACAGGGCTTATAAGGCCTGCCTCGCAGAGCTCCAGGAGTGAGAAAACACAAAGCAAGCACAAACCCAGGCACACAGTAAGCACTCAAAACAGAGTTGCTATTTTTACTATTTAACTACCTCCAACAGGAGTTTTACAGATGACATAATCAGAGCATTCGAGGCACAAGACACTGCGAAGAGCTTTGTTTAATGTTCTTCAGTGTCCTGACTTAGGCACTGCTATTATCCCCATAGCGCAGGTGAGAACGTTAACGCTAAGGTCTCTAACAGCTAGTCAGAGAGGAACCGTGTGTTTAAACTCAGCTAACTCTAAACGGAAATCTCTTAACAGAGAAACTGATTTGTGAACCAGAACCCACTGTGTGAAAGCACCCTGCCCTGCTCACCCATGACCTGACGTCAGAGCTGGGATCTGCTTTAAAATCCTCCAGCTCGGCGGTCAAGATGAAATAAGACCAGCCAGATGGTGAAGACTGTGTGGGTGATGGGGAAATGGGGGCCCGTTTCCTTATTCCTTCCGATTGTGTAAATGTCTGAAATTTTCCATCATAAAAAGCTTCCTTAAAAAAAGCAGGGTATTATTATTAATGAAAGCAATGGTCACCTTTTCTTTCTCCAGAAGATGAAGCCTCCAACAGCCACAATAACCATGGCACCAAAGATACATCCAAAAACTGCTCCACAGATGACACCTGGGAACAATACAAATGGGAGGCACATGAAGAGGTAGGTGTTCACCAACCGGAAGAGTCCTCGAACCAGAGGGAGTGGGCTGTGTATGTGTCGTGTGCACAGACTCTCTCCCACTCCCTCTCACATACATACACACACACACATACACACACACACGCACAGTTAAGTACCTTTGGACCTAAAACTAGGCATTTAGGAGCCGGGTTACTTGTCCACAGTCCACCACTAACCGGAGGCTCTGTGAAAGTCACAGCTCCTCTCCAGGTCTCAGCTTCCTCAACCGCAAATTTAAGGAGCCATGCTCCACATGGTTCCTACCACCTCTGACCCTTTGAGATTAATACCCACATATGAGCAGAAGCACCTAAGCACCATGCTCAGGTGACATAAAAACCATCTGTTTACTGGGTAAGCGGGTGGGGATTCCCCAGACTTGGCTTCTAGGGCAGGAATTCTTTTCTGCAGCCAACGACTTCCGAGTGTGAAAACCAGACACACTAACAAACCAGTTAGTCAATGTGTCTCTGGTCTGAGGTAAGTAATGTACCCGCCTGGGGTCCTTGAAGCTCCTACATCCTGCCGTTCTGTATGATAAAGGAGAGCAGTACTCGACTAGGATTCCAAGAATGTCAGATCTGCCTCTAAGCGACAGTGAAACCCCAGGTAAGCCACTGCCTCTCTCTGGGCCTTCATTGCCTCATTTCTAAAAGGATTTGGACAAGACGATTTCTGTGCTCCCACAAGGGTTCTATGCACTAACAGCCACATCGTGGGTCTGGCACGGGACGCAAAAATGACTGCACTGAGAAAAAAGGACCAATCAGTGTGCAGACAGAAATGCAGCTGGCATTCCGAGGAGGAAGTGGGGGTGGGTCAAGAGACATTGGGGACCTCAGAAGAGGAAGCTGAGCTGGTTTCTGGGAAGGGGGTCAAGTGACATGTCAACTTCTGAGAGGAGAAACCAGGCACTCCAACCCTCCTGGGATCCAAGGGAGACGTGCAGACACCTGGCCTTCTGTGGACGCTGACGGCAAAACCCTCTGAATTGCTAGCAGCGTTGTTTTTCCCCTACCTGGATCCTGGGGCAGGAAAACAGCATCTGAATAGCGGCTGAAGGACACATAGCTCCTGGCCCCATCTATGAGTCCAACATTCGTAGGTTTAAAGGTAATATTGGTGAAGCCAGCCACACAAGCCCTGAGGGATGACAAGAGGAAAAAGAGGTGGCTGAGATGTGTCTAACGGGCAGGAATGTAAAGTTTTGCACTCAGGAGGTTGAGCCCCAAAACACAAGAACCAGGAGACGTTACCGATAGGAGCCCAGGGGCTCCAGCTTCCCGTTGTAATAGCCTTGCGTGGTTGATTCATTCCCAACGTTGATTTCGTATTTCGAGTCTTCAGACAAGCCCTGAGAATGTCCTTCTTCTTCTGTTGTTATGAGGTATGTCACGTAAGTATCCGAGAACCCCTTTTTGAAATCTTCATATGTATGATTCAAAACATCTACAGACGGGGAAACATCTAAGAAAGGCACACGGAAGAGAATTCAGAAGAAAGTGATGGCAAACAGAGATTTCCATCTCCCACGCATCTAAACAATGATGCTGACACTGGGTGACAATGACAACAGCTGCCATCTCTCAAGGATGCTCTCTATGCCAGGCTCTACTTGCATTACGTTCTAAGTGCTTTACTTACATTAACTCATTTAATCCCCACAAGAATCTCATCACATGGGCTTATTCTTCCCATTTTGCAAACAGGAAAATGAAGGCACAGAAAGCTCAAGGACCAAAAGCCACACTGCCTGCGTGGTGGAGTTGGATTTCTAACCCAGACGATCTGATTCAAGCATGTGGGTCATCCATCACAGGCTGGTCAGTCTGGTCAGTATGCAATATTGCCTCCCTCATTTAGTAAAGGTCTGAGCGTGGAATTTTCTTAAAACCTTCACAGAAAATTGACCAGGTGCTTGAAACAGACCCAAAATAAAAGGCAGAGAGAGATCAGATAGCCACGTCACTTTCTGAAAATTTTTTGCAGGTTTATGACAAATGCCTTAGTTTCCATGGTCCCCACGATCCTGACGGTGTGTTTGAACTTCACCTTCCTTGAGAAGATGAGGAAAGAATCACAGGTTGAAAGACAGAGGGAGCTGTACTCCGTTATTCACATTTAAAAAACCACCAAAATCAAAAAAAAAAAAAACTTGGCTTTTTCAACCCAGGCCTCATGCAAAGCACCCACACACAGCTAGCAAAGATACCCTTGAATCGCTCCCTCCTCACTGCCTAAGAATGTACTGGAACCCTTTAAGGAACAGCAGCCTTTCACCCACCTCCTCTCTCAACTATGAGGACACTCTTTGCAAGTTCCCACTACAAATGCAAATTATCTTCCAAGAGAAAGTCATCCTTTGACTGTTATGGGTGCATGTGCATTTGTGTGGTGTGTGTATGTGTGACAGGGGCGGAAGGTGCTCTAATTAAAAGACCCTGTGTTGTAAAGTAGATGAAAAAACCTAGATCAAATACCAGCAAGTTATGGCCCACAGGCCAAATCCAGCCAGCCACCCATTTTGGTAAATAACATTTTATTGGAACAGCCGCACTCATTCTTTATGTATCTTCTATGACTGCTTTCACACTTCATTGGCAGAGTTGAGTAATTGTGACAGAGACTGTTAAGGCCTGGAAGGCTTAAAATATTTGCTGTCTGGCCCTTTATAGAAAGTTTGTCAACCCCCAACCTAAATCATCAGGCAAATGGCCTACCCCCTCCTACCCCCATCTGATTGTCGAGCATAGGCTACAGTGTAAAAACAGACATACATTTGTATCTACAACGTGCCTCAGAGGGCGCAGAAGTGGCAACCAGTCACCACATCACTCACTGGCTATGTGACCCATAAGGACCCCCCTTACCTTCCCCAGTGGTGAGAATAAGAGCATAGGCTTTGATGGGTCCGTGGCTGGCTTCAAACCCACTGAACTTGACCTTTACCGAATTGTGGCTGACAGATGTAATATTAGGAGATTCATCTGGAGAAGGGGGGTCTGAAACAACAAAACGAAACGATCATCCGACATCTAAAACCAAAGAAGGGACAAAATTATTACGGAGAGAATGTGCTGCAGTGCCCTCGTCAAGTTCTGCCCTTGCTGTGGACAGTGGGTGCTGGGCTCATGCAAAGCAAACCCAAGGCAGGGACAGCCTTGGAACCGCCTCCGGCTCACGGCCCTGTTGGTTGAAGAGAACCTGCCTTTTCGATCTTTCCCTGGCCCCTCCGGACTCAGAGAAGCCAGGTTCCTTATTTTGAGAACTGAGGCAGGAGAAGGAGAGCGAGAGAGAGACTGATGTGAGTGGATCTCTAAGGTGGGGACTTGGGAGCTGTACGCAGACATCTAGTAACTGACAGCAGTGGCCAGTTGAAGGCGGTGTCCCCACGTCTAACTGTCAGCTGTCTCAACAGAGACATCCTATCAAGGCTCCCACATTTCCCAGCAGCTTCGTGCCTCTCAGCCCGTTGGCATTCCATCCCGAGACTGTCAGCGGGCACGTGGGCACACCCACCTCCAAGCCTGGGAACCCTTTCCCTCCCACTGCTCATCTCAATCCTACGCTCCACGGGCCTCGTCTGCCTCACTCACCACGAAGCACCCCCAAAAATGTGTCCCTTACTCCGGCACACAGTAATCCAACCAATGTTGGCTACAAGACTATCACGCCAACTGTCCCAGATTTACCCACCCCGCCAACACTTCCTGCCTCTTCCAGAGAACACACAACTCCACTTTTGTGTTAAATGAAAACCGTGTTCAATTTGTCCATTTAAAAAGCACGTTCGATTTGTAATAACAATTCATCTGAGGAAGGGGAGCTGCAGATTGAAAAGTGAGCGAATCACTGGACTAAATGATGGTGGTCATTACTCAACCCTACCACACACTATCCTTCAAAAACGACTAACTCTGACAAGCCCCTACTCTTCACTGCACCCAGCACTGGAGACAGCCAATAAGAGGTGGTTTCGGTTTCTCAGTAGCTTATACCACTGAAGAGATGACATTATGAAACAGAGAACTATGAAAACGCTCCCGAAGGTTCACTGTTTCCACTAGGTTCTGGAGTGCTACAGAAACTCAAAGGAGTGTGTCCCAGGGTCGTCCTGCACAACTGTGTACTACCCAGCTCCAGAAAGCCCCGTGCACATCAGAGTCCGTATGAATTGCGTCTCCTGGAATTGTGCAGTGCACAACCTGGGCGGCCGCACACACGGCAGCTCTTAAGTGGTCTTCCACTCACATCACCTCATCTAATTTGTGTAATAGTCTTGGAAGGTAGGTATCATTTCCCCTTTTCACAACTAAAGAAATCAAAGTTCAGAGAGATTAAATATTTTTTCTGAGATCACATAGGTAAAAGGAAGAACTTAGAAACAAACTCAGGTCTGCCCTTATAAGTTTGAGGCTCTGTCCACAGAACCCTTAATCGCTTTCTAAGACACCTTCCCTGAAGGAAGTGGCTGTTTTTTCTTGTGTTACCATCACTAATTCTCATAAAATTGTCCAAAACAGTCTGGCACCCTAAACATATCCAGGAGTCTAAAAGCACGAAGCAAAACCAACTCCACCAGGTTGATCTAAGACATAACTTTGGCAAAGACATGGGGAGCAAAAGATAGACATGCAAAGACCAAGTAGAGGATCCCTCCCTGTGTAGTGCGTGACCCCATTTCCCAAAACAGCTGGCAAGCTCGTCAGTACAGATTCTAGGGAAATGTGAATCTTGACTGAATACCTGATCAAAGTGAAAAAAGTATTGTTAATTTTTTAAGTGTGATGGTAACAGTAATGTGGTTATGTTTGAAAGGAAGAATAAAGGAGTCCCTACCTTGAAGCAATACAGACTGAAATATTTACAAATAATTTACAAATACTTACAAATTCAAGACTGACCAGGACTGGTCTCAAAGTAATCCAATAAGGGAGGAGGGGATTTAAAACAAAACATTGGTCCAATGTTGACAAATGTTCAACCAGGTGAGGATGGGTACATGGGTTTCTTTACACTTGCCTCCATTTTTTTTGTGTATTTGAATATTTCTATAAAAGTGCTATTTTTAATGCAGTAAGAGATCTCACGACTTAGAAAATGTGGCAATGAATTATATTCAGTAAAGCAAAGGAAACTTTTGGAATGTGAAAAGTGAGCTCTCCCATCCTTGGCTTTTTTAGACAAGATTTCTATAGAATTGGGTTAACAGTCTATGCCAACAAAAACAAATATTTTAGCAGGAATTAAAACACACACACACGCGCATTAGTGCGCACGCGCGCACACACACACACACACACACACACACCAGATTCCTAGGCCACACTTGCAGACCTGCTAGGTCTGCCTCTTCAGCAGTGACCACAATGCCACTAGGCCACCCTGCCACCACGAAGCCCACCTGTGATGCCTGTGAGGCAGGTGTTTTGGGTGGCGGGTGCTGTCTTGTTACAGGACAAGGCAGTGATGCTAATGTCATACGAGGTAGAAAAATTCAAATATGTGACTTCCGTCCTGTACTCAGTGAGATTCTCCGAAGAGCAGCCCTCCAGGAGTGTCATATTTTTCCAATCTCCTCTGCTGACCTCCAGCTGAAAGCCTGTGCTGGTACCAGGAGGGCAGGCCCACTTGAGAACCAAGGTTGGCTCCTTGGGGACCACTTCACAGTGGAAAGAGGCCACTGGTGCAGGTTCTGCAAGGCAAGCACAGCACAGCATGAGATTCTGGGGCTTTGGCCTTTGCAAACACTAAAACTTGGCGAGCAGCAGAATCCTGAGACATTCATGAGGAGGCGACAGGCGTGGGGCATGGTAGAAGAAGCAGAGACTGACCTGAATCGGGCATTACTGAACTATGTAACCTTGGATCAGTCACCCAACCATTTTGAGCCTCAGCTGCAGGACTATTTGAAGCTGAAACACTGGCTGTTGGTCACCAAACTGGAAGAGAACAGGGCTCTGCGAGAGGTAGCTATATCCTAAAACTTTGGTGACTTTTTCACCTACAGTGACTTCTTCACCTATGTCATATCATTTTGGGGATTACTATCCCATTTTGCTGATGAATCAACTGAGGCTTAGAGAGGTTAAGAAATTTGCATAAAGTGGCATGGCTTGTTAAGTGGAGAAGCCAACACTGGATACTAAGTTTTCTAAACCCAAGTCCAGAACATTTTCTGTACACACAACATGCTGAATAATTAATAGTAAATGGTATCAGTTTCTTTATCTTTAAAACACAGTATTATTTGTTTCTACATTTTTTGAAAGCCAACAGGGTTTTGAGAGCCAACATCAAACTGATATAAATGAATAACTCAGTATTAATGCACTGGGAAAGAATGTCATCACTACTTTAATGTTGCACTGTTTTAAAGCAGGAATAGCTCTAACAAATCACCTAGTGCAACTCCCACATCCTCCACCTGAGGCCTGGAAAGGTAACCTGCTCAATGCACACCTACTCTCTCTGCTCCTGTTCCATCCGCCCCCAGTCATTAATGCTCATGTATGCTTTTCTCCTGCTTTGGGCTGCAATGAGTATAGCTAAGAGAAGTGTCAGCAACGGAAGCCACCCAAATACCAAAGATCAGAGTCTAGACTAGGTGAGACAGAGCCTGAGTTAGCAGAGGTGACTCAAAGAAGCAGGGATTTCTTTAGCCACTCCATGTGACAGGTCAGAGGTCGTCAAGGTTCCAGCTCCTACACTAGCAGGGAGGCTAATCCAATGAGACTCCTCCTGCTTTCCAAATCAGCCTGAACACACTTGAGTGGCTTGGCCTTAGGAAGGGAAGATACGGATGTAAAGAGGGTGGAGAATAAGGTGGTACGAGGGCCACAGTCAGAACTGTGAGCAGAGGTCCTTATAACCGTCTGCAAAACAGTCCCTGGGATACTCTCCAAAAGGTCCCTCAGCGAAACGCAGGGCTCCCCTTCGCTTTATCACACTCTTCACAGTGAGAGATAAGGATGAACAAAGGATTTTAACAATATCCTTTCCATCTTCTTGGTGTAAAAGCCAAACTATTGACTACAAGCCTAGACATCACCTGTGCTCCGGCCAATACCTCTCAAGCCTCACCTCCTGCCCGCCTCGCCCTCCTGTTCCCACAGACCCGCTCCTGCTACCCTGGCCGGCTGCTCTTCCCTTAATGCCACAAGCACACTCCAGCCTCGGGGCCTTTGCACTGGCTGCTCCGCTGCCTGCAATGCTCAATGCCCAATGTCCACATGGTTGGCTATTTTATTTCTTTCAGGTCTTTGCTCAAAAGTCACCTTTTCACTAAGGCCTTCCCTGGGTACCCTCAATAAACATCTCATCTCCCTATTCCTTGTTTTATTCCCTCTCCTTGGCAGTAATCATCACCTAATAACTTATTTACCTTATTATATCTTCCCCACCAGAATAAAAGTTCCAGGAAGGCAGGGACTGAGTCACTGAAAAGTACCTAACATATAGTAAGTGCTCAATAAATATTTGTTGAACGGATAAATGATGAGGGCAACAAAACAGCACTAGTAAGCTAACAGGATGTCTCAGAGAGCTCTGTCTCTTATTACACAAAAGCTGATAAACAAGTCTGGGGAGGAGCTACTTGCCAGGTCAACACCACATAGGGAGTCCAAGAGGCACCCAGGGCTACTCACCTGTACAGAATGACTGCCGGTCAGGTTCCAGGGACTCAATGACATCCCCGACTTGGGTGAAGATCTTTACTGTGTACCACGAGCCAGGTATTAATTCAGTGACGGTGGCATAGGTGATGCCAATGACTGTGACTTCTTTTGCTTCCTCGCTGGAATTTCCACCCTGCTCAATAATAAGGCGGTAGGTGTACGTGGAAGAGGCTTCATCCAAGTTCTGCCAGCTGAATGTTGCTGCTGTGGTATTAGTATTTACTTCAAGGTTAGACACATTGCTGGGCCCTTGATTCAAAAGAGCAGAAAAAGCTTGAATTAACTTGAATTCCAGGATGATTGTGTTTACTGAATTTAAAAATAACCTGGCTCTTTTTAGGAAAGAATGAATAAGTCTAATATTTGCTGGCTCAAAAGATGGAAAACTTTTCAAAATGACATTCAGAAAATAATTATACACATAAATCTCAAAAGAATTGAAGTTTTGCATGCTTTTTTTAATACTGCATATTTATCTGAAATACATTTTCAAGATACAATTTCCTATCTGTTTTTGAAATCTGGTCAATAAAAGAAAAAAATACGAAAAAGATATGTCAAATTATCATCTCTGCCATACATTTATTTAGATCAAATATTAGCAAAGCACCTCCCTCACTGTTTCATGCAAAGCTCTTCATTTGAACAGTATCCACGAATGCCAACATGACAACTAGACTCTCCTCTAGTCATTTGAACAGTATCCACGAATGCCAACATGACAACTAGACTCTCCTCTAGTCTATATTCCCAAGGAATGAATGGAAGTTATGTTTGCCATGCTTATGGGATGACTTTCTGCTTCTAAAGACAAGTCCAAGTTCACATGGCTCAACACCAATGCCCCATGAGAAGAGCAGAACCTTTGCTGAGGCTGATGTTTTCAGCTTAAGCAGTTTCACATTCAGCCAGGAGCCTTGAAACAACTGCTCCTTAGCCAATGCTTACATCTCACCCTCCATGCAAGGGTCATAAAGAATACTCCCTTCAGAGGGCATCCTAAGACACTTACGTGTGTACTGTGCAGTGGTGTTGGAGTCCCCCTTGATATTGTTCACTTCTGGAATGATGGTGATGTTATATAAGGTGCCCGGGGTCAGGCCTCTGAGAGTGATCTCTTTGCGAGAGCTGTTGACCTGGTCAGAGCTGTGCTTGGAAACTATGTCCAGATGATAGATGTACTCAGAAGCAATGTCTGTACTCTGCCACCGCAACTGCATTTCGGTTGTGGTGACATAGACCACGGAGATGTTAAACACTGCGCTGGGGTCTGGTTAGAGGAGAAGAAAAAAGAAAGTCTGTGAGTAACTATCGTAATGTCTACTCTATTTTCAAAGGGCCTGTCCAGAGAGTCACTCTTTCACCATCGAACTCTCAAATGAATTCGCAAAGGGCAAACTCCAAAACTTAAGTGAGAAACACACATGCTCATTTCTTTCAAAAAGTCTGGCTTCCCCATAACACAGATAAATTTACAATTCACCCGCTCTACTAAGAACTCTGAGACACAGCAGCTCTACTTAATATATAGAAACAGATGCAGGGAGGCAGACAAACTGGGGAAAAAAGAAAAATGCCCCAAGCAAAAGAACAAAACAAAGCTCCAGAAAAAGAACTCACCAAAATGGACAAAAGCTATGTATCAAATGCAGAGTTCATACACTGGCTGTAAGTATGTTCAATGAACTAAGGGAAAAAGTAGATGAACTCAGTGAGAACTTTAACAAAGAAATAGAAATCATAAAAATGGAGATAGAAACAGAGACTCATGGACATGGACTATAGACTAGTGGTTACCAGAAGGTAGCGGGTGGAGGAAGGGAGGAGGTAGATGGAGTAAAGGGGGTCAAATATGTGGTGACAGAAAGAAATCTAACTATGGGAGGTGAACACACAGTGTAAATATATATGCTTTACTGTTAAAGTGTACAGCTGAAACTTACTGGATTTTGTTAACCAATGTCATCATAAAAAATTAATTTAAAAAAAATGGAGATAAAAAACATAAAAAAGTACCAGTCAGAAATAAAAAATACAATAACTGAAATGAAGAAAACATTTGAGGGAATCAACAGTAAATTAGAGAAAACAGAGGATCGAATCAGCAATTTTAAAGGTAGCAGAACACACCCAATCAGAACAGCAACAAAAAAAAAGAATCCAAAAAAATGAGTATAGTTTAAGAGACCTCTGGGACATCAACTGTACCAACATTCATATCATAGGGGTACCGGAAAGAGAAGAGAGAAAGCAAGGAATTAAAAATCTATTTGAAGAAATAATTACAGAAAACTTCCCTAACTTGGCAAAGGATCCAAAAAGGCCCACACCAAGACACATCATAATTTAAAATACCAAAGGTTAAAGACAAAGAGAGAATCTTAAAAGCAGCAAGAGAAAAGCAATTAGTTACCTACATGGGAACTCCCATAAGAGTGTCAGCTGATTTCTCAACAGAAACTTTGCAGGCCAGAAGGGATTGGTATGAAATATTCGAAGTGATGAAAAGCAAGGGCCTCCAACCAAGATTACTCTACCCAGCAAAGCTATCATTTAGAATCAAAGGATAGATAAAAAGCTTCCCAGATAAGAAAAAGCTAAAGGAGTTCCATCAATACCAAACCAATATTACAAGAAATGTTAGCGGGACTTCTTTAAGAAGAAAAATTAAAAAATTCAAAAATATAAATATTAAAATGGCAATAACTACATATCTTTCAATGATTACTTTAAATATAAATGGATTAAACGCTGCAAACAAAAGATAGGGTAACTGAATGGATAACAAGAAAAACAAGACCCTTACATATGCTGCCTAAAAGAGACTCTCTTCAGATCAAAAGATACACATGATATTTCATGAAAATGAAAATAAACAAACAAAAAAAAGCTGGGATAGCGACACTTGTACTGGACAAAAATAGGCTTTAAAACAAAGACTATGATGAGAGACAAAGAAGAATCTAGTAATCCCACTTCTGAGTATTTATCCAAACAAACCCAAAACAGTACTTCAAAGGGACATGTGAATCCATAAGTTCATTGCAGCATTATTTACAGCGGTCAAAGTATGGAGGCAACCTGGGTGTCCATCAGTGGATGAATAAAGAAGAGGTGGTACATATATACGATAGAATATTACTCTGCCATAAAAAAAAGAATGAAATCTCGCCATATGCAACAACATGAATGGACCTAGAGGGCATTGTGCTGCGTGGAGTAAGTCAGACAAAGACAAATGCCATATGATTTCACTTATATGTGGAATCTAAAGAACAAAATAAAAGAACAAACAAAATAGAAACAAACTCATAGATGTGGAGAACATTTTGATGGCTGCCAGATGGAGGGTGGATGAAAAATGGGAAAGGATTAAGTAGTACATATTGGTAGTTACACAGTCATGAGGATATAAAGTACAGCATAAGGAATATAGCCGATAATATTGTAATATCTAGGTATGGTGTTGAATGGGTACTGGATTTATCAGGGTGATCACTTTGTAAGTTATATCAATGTCTAATCACTGTGTTGTACATCTAAAACTAAGATAATATTGTATGTCAACTATAAATGAAAAATTTTAAAATTACTTTAGAAAAAGAATACATAAGCATACATTCCATTAGCTGTCAGAATGATGATGTCATCCCAAGTCATATAGCATCTGAAAAACTCCACTGTACACTCATCATGAGAGAATGAGAGTGAAAATGCCAAATAACATTTTACTATTATGCTAATAATATCTCGCAGACTCTTTGGATAAATCTAGGGGGACTCCCAGAGATCACACTTTGAAAGCCACTGACCTCGCCCAAGGTCAGCAGACTTTTTCTATGAGGCTCTGCAGGCCATATATATATTCTATGTTGCAACTATTCATTCTAGCACAAAAGCAGCCATAGACAGTACATAAACAAATAGACACGGTTGTGTTCTGACAAAATTTTATTTACAAAAACAGGGAGTCAGCTGGATTTGGCCCATGGGCCATTATTATCTGTTGGCCCCTGATATAGACAATGGAGTGCCAGGAAGGTATGAAAATTATCCTGTAGAAATATAGAAATATTTATATTGACAGAGAGAAATGTTCATAATAAACTGATATGTGGGGGGGAAAGCAGATTACAAAACCACATGTACAGAATGACTTCAATGTTTGTAAAATATATATACGTATATGTATGTATATTTATATATACACCTATATAAATCTTAAAGTTGTAAAACATCACTCATCAAAAGTTACCAGTGATTATTTCTGATTGATGGTTTATATGTGATATTTTTCTTTTCCCTTATCATTTTTATTCCTATAAAAATGAATATGCACTACTGTTGTAAATTTTTTAAAGATTTTTTTTTTAGATAATTAAAAGAAAAACAATATCTGGAAAACCCAACATTTATAAATCATCCTTTAAGAAACATCACTGTTTCACGGGACGCACAGCCTGTCTACTTACCAGTTGTATTGCAAACTGTCTGGGGATCCCCTTCAGTCCCATTTGGTCCTTGTGGAAATATTTCAAAACAATACTTGGTTCCCGGGTGTAAGTCCTCGATGACAATACTACCTTGGTTGGTGGTTTCTTCCTCCAGAGGTTTTCCACCTTCATCCTGTGTGATGAGTATCTTAAAGAAATCTGAGTAGTTGCTGCTCCAAGCTAAGCCGATAGCCCTGGTGGTAACATTTGTCACTCGAAAGTTGGAAACTGGATCAGGGCCTGAGGGAAGAAAGTAAATGACTAGATTAAGAATCTATTTCTCCAGAAGACAAGGGTGACTGAAGTTCACAAAATATTTATAGAGATGAAATGCATATTTGGGATACCTGGCCTATATTTTTCTCCTCTTTGTATTATCATCTACAACACGAGCCCCTCAGAAACTGGCATTTTGGCCACTGAGAGAACAGCTGGCTACAAGAGTACAGAAACTGCTTGCTTAGGCTGTACACCATCATTCACAGGAAATGAGAGGTAGTGTGAACCCTGTGGGCAAGGACTTAGGCTCTGAAGTAGGGCCTTGTCCTCTGACAGTGTGCTTCCTGCAAAGGCACAGACACTCAAGTAAAGCATTCTGTGGGATGAGCCTTGGGTCCAGAGCCAAGCACTCTGGGTTCAAGTCCTTGCTCTGTGACTTTGCCCAAGCTCTGTGGCCTTGGGCAAACTGTTTAAGAGCCAAGCACTCTGGGTTCAAGTCCTTGCTCTGCGACTTGCTAGCTCTGTGGCCTTGGGCAAACTGTTCAGCTCAGTTTTCTCATGTAAAACATATCATATCTACTACAAAAGCAATTGCAATACCAATATTAATGTAGTATTATTCTAACTGGCACGCCATTATTTAGTTTAAATTATGGATCTTCTTTGGAACAGAAAGCTTTTAATATGTTGCCTATCATCTTATCTTCACGGGACAGTTAAGCAAGCGAAGGATGAGACATAGCTGTGCCCTGCTCCATTATAACATCAGCACCTTAAGGACAAAGGGACACGAATATCCAAGTTCCTTTTTGTCTGCATATAGCAATTTGCTCCAGCCCTCTACCACACTAAAATGGTCATTACGAGCATAGGCTGGAGTCAAGACAACTGCCTAATCTCACCTGTCACTTGCCAGGTGTGATAATAGTCTTGGCTTCCTCATCCATAAAATAGGCTAATGCCAACCACATCACAGTGCTGTGAACATTAAGTGAGACAGAGCAGGGAAAGTAAGTCATATGATGCTGGGCATGTGGGTAGGATCGGTCAACGATCACCATTATCATGTCGCACATCCTGAGTATAAGAGTCCTGTGGGCCCACATACTCAGCTGTGCCTTCCTTGAGGAGTCTTGTCTAGTATCTGGGCCTGGCACAGAGCAGACAGGCAAGAACGGTTAGTGAACAATGCGTGAACTCACGGGTGTACACTTGGAGGAAGCCAGGTATGCCCTCGGCACTGCCGTTAAGGAAAGGATGCACTGTGATGTTGTACAAGGTGCTCGGGCTGAGTGAAGTGATAACAGCTTGAGTCTCGTTGACAGTGAGGTTGAGGGAACTGGTCTGCCCAGCAACTTGTATCTTGAAGGTGTAGAAAGAAGACGGCTCATCATCATTGATTTTCCAGGTCAGGGTCATGCCCGTGGCACTGATATTTGCAGCTTCAATGTCGAAAACGAGACTGGACTCTGTGAAGACACAAAAGGAGTTAAGAGTAACCAGAATGATCAAGCCAGAAAGAGAGAAGCCGTCATCAGAGCATGTCATCTAGTCTAAGAAACACTCCTAGCGAGTGTTCCTATTCCACACCATTTACTCCAAACCACAACACACGCAAATGTATGGGGGTCCCAGCAAGGGTCAGGCAACGTCCTCCACAAAGAAACACCCTGGCCAACTGCAACCGCAGAGTTCCTCCTCGTTCTTCTTGTGAGTTGACCCTTAGAGATACGGTGGACTCCTCCGACGATAACACAGATGCCACACGTGCCCTGCCCCAGGAGCTGGGGCAACCCAGGAAAGTGCTCAAGCATACATCCAAAGGCTTGACACAATACATGTACATACATGTACATGTATACATGTGTGTACACGTGTACAAGTTTGTATGTGTATACGCACCTACATATATGTACACACACATACATATATGTACACGCACACCATATAGAGAGGTTTAAGGTTTCTACAATTATTATTTATCAAGGACAGTTCAACACAAACCAGGCTCTGTGTATATCCATAGGACCAAGAACCTAAGAAGCAATCACTATTACTTTAATTCTGCTCGAACTGCATTAAAAAGCAGGGACCCAGGCCCATACTAATCATCTGACCCCTTTTAATGAATCAGGCAAAGGGCCCCTCCTCCGGACAGACCCAGTCCTATGCTATGTGGCTTGGTGAGAGCCCACGGACTAGATTTCAGCCCCATTCACCTTCTTGCACAAGCATCTTGTGTGCAGGACAGCACCCCTGCCCTGGTCAATGTACTCCCCCTCTTCCTCACCCCTTACCTACCCTCTAGACACCAAGCCCTCCTCCCCAGGAGCCTCCCACTTGCCAACCTGCTGAGTTACTGGAGGTCCCCAAGTGGCCTTTCCTACAGCTGCATCATCACCTCCTTACCCACACATGAGCATCACCAGTAGAAGAGGAAAGAAGGAAGGAGGGCACAAGTGAACCCTCTTGCAGTGTAGATACCCAGGAAAGCAACAATTCCTTACAGACAGGCCTTGTCACTGGCTTCTCGCCCAAATTTTCTAGCCCTGTGCAAGCAATACGGCCAGGCTAGTAACTGCCTCGTCTACAGCATGCCCTGACCTCCCATCTCCCAAAGAGAGAGACGACTCCCAAACATACAAATAGCATCTCTCCAGGAATTAAATCAACCCCTCGAGAATTATCAGGGTCCTTGAGGTCCCAGGGCCTCTCCACCTTTACCCCTCAGTGTCCACTGTCTGCACTTTCGCTCACGACCTTTGCTCAACTGACATGACCACCTCCTCTCCATTTTTCCAAAATCCTATTCTCTCTTCAAAGACAGTTCAAACTCTGTAGAAGAGGATTTGGTATATAAAAATCGTGCTCCAGCTTTCCAATGCCCACAGCACTTAAAGGGCAGCTACAGTGGACGGTGGTCACGTGTTCCCGGTGCAGCGCCCAACTCCTTCTTCCCAACAGCACCCTACCCCCTTGGTGAGAGAAGTACTTGTCACCCATGTAGACGCAAGGGGGACTGTGTCTCTCTTCTCCAGCAAATAAGTCCAGAAAGCTGGCATGTGACACTTTTTCTATCTCGGGACTCTGAATCCTGAGGAAGTGTCACCAGGTCCAGGATGGTGCAGCCCTGCAGTTTCAAAGACACTAGTCTGTTCTCTGTCCTTGGTTCTCCAGCCCCCACCCCTTGCGTTCTGTGGGTCTACGACAGCTTTTCAGAAAAGACATATTTTTGGATAAGATGATCAGAGTCGGGTCATGCTGCCTGCAACCAAGCCCCCAGAAACTACACCGTGCAGCATTTGTTCCTGAACCCACAGAGCCTGGCCATGTGCTCTTCCAAGGAGGTTTGTCTTGAGTCCTCATCTATACTGAAACTCCCTAAAGGTAGGGGCCAGGCATTTCTTTTCCTCTCTCATCAGCACCAATCCAAAAAGCCCCCAAATACTGATCAAGTTCCAGAGCGGGAGAGCTGACAAAGGAGAGGTAGAAAGCAGCACCGTGCACGTCGACGAGTTTCAACAGAAAGACTGGCACGCCTTCCAGGGTCAGGCCAAAAGAGGAAACCCTTTCTCTCATCTCAAGGGGAAGATACATAACCAACACTGATAAAATGAGTGTCAGTTTATAGGAGGAAAATATCACAGCTGCTTGTCCCATTGGCCCGTGTGCAGGGAGATGAAAAGACACGAGGCAGCACACGGCAGCCGTCACTGTGCTGTCCTGAGCTCAGTGGAAGAAGTGTCTTGGCCACTGGGTTAAGAAGAATCTCACTTGGTCTGATCAGTCCAAAATCTCTTCCAGAAAACTCCCTCTGACCACAGAACCACTTGTGAAGCAAGAGCTAACTCAGAACCAGAATCATAGAACACAAAACCTTGTGCTAGAGACTCTGGCTGAAGCCATTTTACAAAATCCGACATACTTGTCCTGAATCCTATCTCCAGGGGCTGTCCTTCTTTGCCATCGGGTGCTCGCGAATAAACAGTGGCGTTGTACTCTGTGTCAGACTTTAACCTGAGGATCAGGACCTTCGTGTCGCCAGTCAGAGCATGGACAGAGGATGTGTCTTCAGGTTCAAGTGTGTATTTGTAAACAGGGGCAGCAGGGCTCTCTGTGCTGATGGCATCTGTTTCACACACAAAAGATAAGGACATTAACGACAACCGAAGCACATCCCTGTTATCTTTCCGTGTCTCTGCCCTCCCCCCACCCCATAAGATGACACACGAGGCAGGCTCCACAGTTGGTGTTCCACAAGTGTCTGTCCCCCTCCTGCCCCAGAGAGACACATCCACCGGAAAAGGCCCCAAACGGGGGCAGACGTTTTACTTTGTATCTTCATTCCAGGTTGTACCACAGATACTTGTGCTTCTCTTTCAAACTCAGCCATTCGCCTCTCTTCCCCTCCTTTCAGGAAGTCATCTTCTCCCGCCCAATCCCTAATGTGGACTTCCAGGAACAGCCACATAACTCCAACGTGGCTCATCAGCGCCCGTCAAGGAACTATTCCCCTGGACCAGAAGCTGGCTGACAGGGGTAAAACGGGAACCGCTGGTGGCCATTTCTCCTCGAATGGCGTGGAGGGAGCCACTCTGAGAACAAAGATGGCAGAAAATACGAAGCAAGGAGAAGAGATGAGAGTCACCTCATCTCTTGCTTTAAAGCCTGCCGCCCATGGTGGGGAAATATACACAAGGCAATCGTTGCTCTTCGTCTAAGCTACTGAGAGTCTGGTTTCCATCACCTGCAATCAAGAATCCTGACGCCCACTTTGTAGTTCTGCTCCCTTGTGTGTAAAATGGAGATGGAGTATCTATTTTTGTGAATCCACAGAGTCAGCACTGAAAATGCTAGGGAATCTACAAATGTCGACTCCACTGTTAATGCAGGAGACGTCTGCCAGAAAAGCAGCTTTTTTCTCAGTAGATGTGGTGAGTTCTTCCAACAGCCCTACTTGGGTTAACACATCTGTCACTTGTTCAACTGAAAGCGTGAAACGCTAAAGGGGCTGGCTACTTTCCTGGATGTCAGACTCCAATAAGTTTCAAGCCCCATCGCCATTCTGAACCCCAATGTGCTGACCTATAAAATAAGACCGTTTTCCATCCTTCCTCACACAGGCATGGAGTCAAACTAAAAAGTGGAAGAGGACCTTCGATAAATTCTAAAACTCTATACAAATATAAGAACAATATTTTTTAAAACTGGAAGTCACTGGAAGTCAAAACCATAAAGCAGAAAGGAAACACAGCCTTGTAACTCACCTGAGCCATTTCCTATAACCAGGGACTCTCTCTGTGTCTCATTTGATTCTATAAGACTCAGGGTGACCTTATATTGAATCCCTGGCTTCAGGTCTGAAATATTGGCCACCTTCTCATCGCTTCCAGCGTCTTCAAGGAGCATCCGGCAGGTGGCAGTGCTATTATCATTCTTCCAGGCAAGAGTGACTTTCGTCACACCCACAAAGACCACGTGAAGACCAGAAACTGGAAGGGGCTCTATTTGAAAAATATACAAGAGACATTGATGAAACAAGATATCTACAATCGGCTTTCATTAAAGGTGACTGGGAACACTGATGTTTCAATATGACCTACTGTAAATACTTCTTTGATATCAGAGTCTAGTCAATCCAATCATTTCACAGTGGGGCGGGGTCAGGAGAGGATTTATTTGTTTGTTTGTTTGTTTGTTTGTTTATACAGAAAAGAGGAAAAAAGAATAAACTCTAAAGCCAAAAGTTTTTAGGATCTGTACTATTCTCCAAGACAATGACGTCCAACAGTGATTTGATAGTCTTCTAAACTGTCTTTTCCAAAGGGCAGCATTTAATTATATTTGTTTTAGACATTAGGAACAAAGCATGAAACAAAGTGATTGTTTGCTATGTCTAAAGGTCCAGATAGTGCAAATAAAATCATTTTGCAATACCAAGATATTCCCATTCAGGAGCTCGCCCTTGTACTCCAACTGCGAGGGGATCTTTTCTGATCTATACTCTCCCACCACCTTTCTTTTCATCACCTTATTTAATTGTCGGTAACATAAACAGAACCATTTCAGCCAAATGACATCCACTCCGTCATTTTTAAGATGTGACTATGGAGATACAGAGAGGCGGGTGACCTGCTCTAGAACGCACACCACTGGTGGCGTCTGGGAAGCCGGAAGCCAGGGCTCCAGCCTTCAGCTCACGGAAGCACAGACAGTGTCGCAGACAGAGCAGAAACCCTGCCTGAGGTCCGCAGGTGGCTGAACTCAAAGGCGCTGGCCGAGATGACTGCAAGTCGCCGTCCAGCTCTGAAGCGAGCTGATCCACTCTACAATTCTACTCTTTAAGAGCAAATGTTTCTGATGCAAAGATTTCTAAATTGGGTCACTCACGTGTTGTTGTTGTTGTTGCTGTTGTTGTTTTAATGGAACATCAATAAACTAGCCAGTTCAATGACTCTGGGTACCTGTGATAAATATCCATGACCCTGTGGCTCAGGAGTCAGGCCCCCTGGGTTCCCACCACTTGTAACTATGGGACCTCAGAGGAATCAACTGCTCAGCATCACAGCTTCTTCCACTGTCCCCTTTAGCTTTAAGGACATGAAAACACAGACAATGCTGCAGACAGAGCAGAAACCCTCAGCGTTACTGTGAGGACAAAATAATGTTATCAAGGGCAGCTAAGCGCACGTACATGTTCGGTAAATAGTAACTGATGAACACAGCCTGGTCCTGCCGGCTTTAAGGTGGAGCAGGATCCTCAGCTCCAGGCTGGGTGCTTCCTGCCGCCTCTTCCTGACTTTCCCCAAAGTCACCCATTATGCATCGCCTTGGCCCCATCACAGTTTCCAAATTCTGTCTTGTTTCTCCTCCTTAATTCTCTTCTCTCTCCTCTCTGCCCTTTCCTTCATCTCTTCTCTTTCAAAATTTAAGATAGTAAAGCCTGATTGTGGGTGTTTTCCCTCGAAAACTGTGCTCTGAAGAACTCTGGGAGTTTTCTGATGGTCCCTCAAGATACCCCATCCCTTAGCTCTTCTCTCTCCAGTTTTGTTCTTTTGTTTTTGTTTTTTTGTTTTTTTACTTTTGGGGCTTCTGAGAAATATTTTTATTAAAGAAATAATTTCCTGGCTTAAAAAAATATTGAAACCCACTGGTTTAGTGTTTGCCTACTCCACGTGCAGAAGCCGAGACGGTCACTTCACGTCATGGACTCTAAGAGGTGGGGTTTGCATGGCCTTCTCCAGCCCATGAGATCACATCTCCAGATCAGAAAACCAAGAGAGGGCCTCTTTTTTAAATTTTTGCTTCCTCTCAGCTTAAAAAGAGTTTCTCATTTCTTTTTAATATTTTTGGTTATTTTAAGTTTAAAAAAACAAGAACTGAATTTGTAGCTATAACAGGTGGCTCAAGGTATTAACATCTAAGCTACATAAAACAATCTAAGTTTAATTGAATGTCACTAGGCTCTTATTTAATTTGAAACACGCATTCCTTTATGAAATATACCAAAGTTTCATGCCTGGCAGAAATCTGTGGGAATATAAGCATAGCATCGACTCTCCTGGGGAACTTAAAAGAAGCCTAGCAATTAGTGACACCAACAAGACACATTCTCTGCTCCCAGGTCTTAGCAGAAAAGTATTACGCAATAATAACAAAAGATTTTGAAAACCAAACAGTTGAAATTAGTTAAAAGATCAGAAAACACATAGGATCTTAATACTGAATGATCTAGCCACCTGAACTCCTGGGCTTGAAACAACATAGAATCTTTTCTCTTCCACAGTTAATGAAAACCAATCTTTCCAACAGGCAACTTGAATGGACAAGGTTTTAGAATGTACAATGAGAAGGAATGGTTCATGATCATTCCCGGTCACTAGTCAACTTACCCGTTGTGACATTTATGGTCCTGGGAGCTCCAGAATTGTTGTTTATTTCTGGAGTGATGGAGAACATATATGAAGTAGCAGGACTTAAGTCTGTGATGTCAATGCTTGTTTGATTTAGAACAGAAATCAGACGCTTGTTTTCCTCCTCACTCTCTACTCTGTACATGTAAGTAGAGGCAAATGTGTCATTGTTTTTCCACATCAGGGGCACAGCGGTTGAACTGACGGAACCAACTTCAATGTCAAACACAGGACTGAGCCCTATTTTAATAATTTTTTCAAAAAAAAGAAAGAAAAAAATATATTTAGAAAAGAAAGGTAAGAGTAAAGACTGCCCTATGTGTCTACTTTCCAGAAGTAAATTTTGCAATCATAGAATTTCATTTCTCTTTACTGCCTCCTGAAATTCCCTCCAACAAAATACATTGAGACACATATACATACATGTATGCATGTGTGTTCGTGAAACAGGAAGCTTTAAAACAGACAAATGGTAGAGGCTGGCATGTTGACTATGATCTGTACACAGGTTAAATCTGCATAGAAGCTGGTACAGAGATTTAAGATGCAAAGTGAGTCTCTCTCCTGATTCTCAGAAAATACTGCATGTGGAGAGGTGTATATGGCACAGAAGCACGTGATAACTTTTTTGCCAACCTCTGCTATCAGGAGGAAGCTCTGTAGTTTTCTGGCATAAAGATGACAAGGGACAGAAGAGCATAAAGAGAAAAGAAGCGGTCTTGGCATCCAGACCTGGACATAAGGACCTGCTCCCTCCTTCGTCGTCTAACCTGGAATTAGTCCCTTCAAACCTCTCAGTCTCAGGTTCCTCTGCTGACAGCTCTAATATACTATATTGAACATAAGGATGGTTATTAAGGCATCACGATATGGCAAACAAGGCCACTGGTTGTGGATCCTTTTTAAACTCTGGGTTCGGAGCCCAAACCGGCTAGTCATGAGTCGTGTGATTTTCCTCAGTCTTCTCACCTCTCTTGAACCTCACCTTCGTCCTCGGTCGAACTGTAGGTGTGCAGGATCAGACACAATGGAAGTTATTACGGTTACTAACTAAAACTTCCAAGTGAGTGCGTCCTAATTACATTCAAGGTTGAGCAATGACAATGACCAACAGAAGAGGCAGCACCAGCAATCAGGCCCTTCTCTTAAGGACCTACAGATTGACCCCAGAAAAGACGGTACAGTAACACCACTTCGGCATGCGCATGACCTTCACATAACAGCAGAGACAATGTGCCTCGCCTGGCACCTAAAAGAGGCAAACATTTACTCAGTCCATGAAAAAGGGCAGGAGAGGAAATGAGAGAAAGGAAAAAGGAACAGGCTGGAAAGAAAGAGTCTTGTGGCCCACAATTCAATAAACTTCATGCTAGGAAGCCCCTCCGGACTTGACCTTCCTCTTTATAGAGTGACAGGTTCACAGGATCAGAGTAGCAGGTTATCGCTGTGGTGCCATTTACAGTCAATGCTGACGACGGTGAGGAGGGATATAAAACAATAACCACAGTCACAGCGGTGGGAGCGGCGAGGACAACAGCCCTATTTGGGGCTGACCGTGTCCCAGGCCCGGTGCCAGGTGCTGCACACACATTTTCTCATTTATGCTTCACAAGAGCTTCATGAGGAAGGCTGTAGCACTATTTTTACAAAGAAGAAACGTGTTAAGAACTATATTTTACTGATTCGTACAGAAATTCTGGGAAGGTTTTAGAAAAGCAGGTTCTTAAGTTTCGATAGTTCAGATAATAAAGCACATTTAAAAATGTTTTTAAAATACGTGTATGTGTGGAGTTGTTTGTTGTTTGTTTTTAATAAAGATGCAGAAACTAAGGTCTAAGAGGACCAATGCCTTGCCCAGGGTCACAGAGCTAGAAATTGACAGATCTGGGAAGCAAACCTGGGTCTCTGATTCCAAGTCCATGCTCCTGACCACTGGGCCGTGATAGTACTACTCAAAGAGCAGGCAGGAGGGCAGTGTGAGAACAGCTCTCAGGAACAAGGACACCCTCCAGCCAGGCAACAAGGCCAAGCATCAGAAGAGAGCTCTGACAAGTAGCTGCTTTTTACTGTTGAAGCTCAGAAAATCTGATCTCAAATACACCGCGCATGTGAAGACATGTACATTCTCTAAACCCCACGGTCCATCCCAAAAGAAGAGTCTTGCTCACGTGTTTGCACTTGTTTACGACAGCAGACAGTAGAGTCATTTAAAAAGCTGAAATTGTAATGCATCCCAGGAACCAGGTCCCGAAACGAAGTCTGTCCGTCACTTTGGAAAGGAGACTGACTCAGGTTATTCGAATCAGACACAACTTCTACTGAAAAGTTTCCTGGTGCCTCACGAAAAAGAATCTCAGTGGCTGTCGATGTGAGTGCAAACAGATCACAGCCTAGAACACAAGAAAGAAAAACAATATGCAAACTAATATAATGGTACCTCCTACCACATACTCGTGATAGGACAGGTTTTTTATTACAATTTTTAAAATTCCCCCATCTCCCCTTCTCCTTTAAAATATCACCTTATTTACCAAACTGATTAACCAGGAAGAAAAAGGAACTGCAGAATTCTTCCCATTGTTTGCACAGATTTTGCATAATTACTGTTATTAAGTGAGATTTGCTTGTATTAGAAAGTTTCAGCAAGATCTGCCCCCTTTATGTGGCACTTTGAGAACATTCTAATTATTTTATCTCTGTGGTTCACAGACTTTGAGATTTTAACAACTCCAGAAAAAAAATAAGTTACCAAATTTTGAGAACCGACAAAAAAATACCAATTTTTTACAAACAGGTACATTTAAAAAAAAAAAAACTGCCAATGACTATTATCTTCTGTTTCTCTTATAGAAACATTTTACGACCAAAAAAATTATTAAGGATATAATCCGAGTACAGGCAGTGCTTTCAACTGAATATATTTAGCTTCATTAAAACTTACTATCATTATCCCTATTCTTCTCATTTTACTACAGACCAGGGAGGACTTCGAGCGACCAACACTAGTTAGCAAGTGGGACTCAGTCCTCCACACAAAAGTAAAATATACAGGAGGCTGTATGGTTTTCCAAAGATTATACAAACTGTGTATATCGTTTTATAAATCATGAGGCAATGGAATGACCCAAGGAAATACTTATGGGATCGTAGCATATAAAACTAATATAAATCATACCGCGTCAGAGTTTCAATCGAGTTTTTTTTTTTTTTTTTAATTACCATGGATATAGGTTTGGGGGGGTAGGATCGAAGAAAATATAAATTTTTTATTTGTCTAGGTTACACAATTGATTGAATTTTTCTATCACTTGCCATTCCCACCCTCACCCCACATCTACAGAAAAACTGGAAACTAAGCGAGTTTTAACCAATTAGCATTTTCTGCAATTTTTATGTCACTGTCAATATCGCTGTGTCCATCAGGGGGCAGTAGCAAACAACACAAGAGTGGAGAGGGAAGTAGTACTTACAGGAGTCACCTGCGCACAAAATCTGTAACAGAAAAAGAAAACGGAAGTCAGCCGATTCACTCAGCCACGGAAAATGCAAATCAGAAATAAAGCAGCTGGGAATTCAATAATGCGGGCAGGGTGCTAAGAAGTCCATTATGTAAGGGCCTCCTGGCCGGGGTTAATATGTGGGGACACTGACTGCGGAAACTCAGTGTAATTCGGTGTAAGGGTGGCAGGTCCATTACAAACAACGGCTTCACTCCGTTACATGGAGGTTGATGGCGATTGGCTTCCCAATGTTTTTCCCCACAGATACATCCCATACTGCAATGCTCCCTCCTGGCACTGCATCGTGAATTGAGGCAGAAGGACACAGAAACAGCATCCAGACTTCCCTAGGCCAGAAAAAAGGCAGGGCCATGCCCAGAGACATTTTCAGGTCTCCACCGCAGAGTGTAAAGCCAGATGTGGGACAGAAGAAACCCACTGGGTTTGGGATTTTCATTGCGCAAAAATTCATCTTATTCCTTCTATCAACAGGTGGTAGTTATTTTTTTTTTTTTTAATCATATGGCACACAGCTTTGGGACAAATGCACATTTGAAACAGAGGGACCTTAAAGACTGTTTAGTTGACAATGTCTCTATCTACCATCTTTAGGTCTCTGGGAATCCTCAAAGATAGTCATCATGATCCATAAATTATTTCCCCATATTTCCCCATACTTTAAAAGCCTAAAATCATTAAAGTTGTGGATTCTATTGTTTCATACACACACCTTTTTTGGTTAATGGCATTTTTCAAATGGTCTCCATGAAGAGGAAAGTAATCAAAAGTGACCCCAGTAGAAAAAAATGTCCTCCAACCTCCCATCACACTTAGCAACCAACACCCTGAGCCTACCTGCCCCTCTAATCTCTCCCCCTCGCCCCCTACACACACACACACGTACTTTACAGTGTTTTTGAAGCCGGTTTCCCCATGAGGCCTTTCTGTATTTATTCCCTTCTCCAAAAACACTTTGCCCTAGATCATCCTGTGGCACAGCCTAAAATGCCACCTCTTCAACGAACACACACACACACACACACACACACATACTTTACAGTGTTTTTAAAGCTGGTTTCCCCCTGAGGCCTTTCTGTATTTATTCCCTTCTCCAAAAACACTTTGCCCTAGATCATCCTGTGGCACAGCCTAAAATGCCACCTCTTCAACGAGTCCTCCTCCAACCAACCAGTGGAAGTCAGTGCCCCTCACTCTCCATCACGCCAGCAGTGTGCTTCTTCCTCAGCGTTTACCTCAGTCATTATTATCAGTCTCCTTCAACCAAAATGTACACGCCACAAGAACAGAAACCTCATCTCTGCCCCATGCCTAGAAGAGTGCATACCGTAGGCACTCAATAAATACCACCGAAAAAAAACAGAGCCTCTCGTTTTGGAGAGGAGGCAATCCCTAAGGCCCGGGGGCGGGGGGGAGGGTTGAGACTAGCCCCAAGGTCCCATGGTGAGGCCAAGGCCAGCTGAGTCCAGGAGCCTGATTCTCCAGCCCAGCATCTCGTCACTTGCAAAGACAAGGATAGCACTGGTTTTCATCTCATGGGTTGGAGGGACAGAAGGATTTTCCCGTGGCCCAGTGGCCCAGGCACCGGTCTTCAAAGGTATCCTGTACCCCCTCTCTCCTCACTCTCTGCAGTAGGGCCCCCAACTCTCAAACTTTCCATCCCCACCACCCACTCTACTCTCAAGCCCTCATCATCTCAGGCCTAACCTTTTCCAGTTCATCTTCCTGCCTCCAGGCCCACCCCTCAATCAGTGCGCTACGCATCAATCCACATCGTCCAGGATGGACCACAGGAGAGAGGGGGAAAAACAATGAGCTGCTTGCTAGACAAGTAGCTCAAGGCAGCATTTTTTTATTTTTGGCCCAGTAGCTGGAAAACATTAAACTACATAATCTCATGACTCTCGGATGACCCGTCCCAGCCCCTTGTAACATTGTTATCTCTTTGTATGTGCCTCCATGCATTGGAATCCATTTAGTCATCCAAACATCACCTAAAAACGTTAAAGCTCCGGGCTCGACCCCCAAAACTGTTTACAGGAAAGTAAGGGAAATCAGACATGTCTGTAAATAGGTAATTCGGGGTAGAAAGCCCCGACTACTTGAACAAGTAATTCTCGACGCCAACATGGGCAGTGCTGTGCTAAAGGCCTGGAACTAAAGGGGGCTCAGGGCAGAGGGAGGGAGGGAGGCCGGTGACCCACACCACAGCAAGAGAGAGGGACGGAGCCCAGGGGTAGGAACCATTCACTGCAGGAAGTCAGATGGAGACACGCATAAAGGCAGGGACATCCGCACGTTTCCAGCTATGCCTTTCCCATCTTAGACTCGGTGGACACTTAATTGCTCATGATCTTCACGAGGGGCAACGTAACAAAGAACTCTGAACTCTCGAGATGAAAGTGCAAGGATCACCGTCAGTGAAAAGGCAAGTTTCCAGAAATTAAAATCACGGCGTAGACTCTGTACTCTCGAAGCATTATACTTTATACGCCCAGGGCTGACTCTGCACTGTTCCAAGTGTTTTCAAACATTAACTCATTTAACCCTCCCAAGGACCTTACAAGGTAGGCACAGGTTCCTCGTGGGCCCATGAGCTGCAGGGCTTGAACCTGAACTCACGGACCCCGCGTCCTTAACCACCAGCTGCGCTACCTCCCAACGCAAAGTGGCTAAAGAGAAATGTACCGGGATTTAGGGAAGGTTTAAAAATTAATTTTAAGCAACATTATCAGTGTCTTCCCGTCTTCTCTCTACTCTCCTAAGATTCCAGCAAGCAAAGCAAGTGTGTTTCTTGACAAATCGGGTATAGTTTCTCCTGTCAACTCTCCAAAGAAGGCCTTAGGTGCCATGCAAACACACCAGCCTGTGTCTCTCTGAGGCTCCTGGTGAAACAGAGGCCAGTGTGCCGACACACTGTACCCCATGGATGGCTTTCATCTTTCCTGGCCTCTCCACCTGCTTCTTGTTTTACCTCTTCTTAACCTCCATGTGCCTCATTTCCCAAATAGAGCATCAACACTTTAATCCTTGTCTCAAGACCCAGGAAACCGAAAGGTCCCAGGCTAAGACATGGAAGAAGGAGACCTAAGAAAAGTCTGTGAGAGGGCTCCTGGGGAAGAGCTTCCTCGTGAATAAAAAGGAACTACATGGAAGGACATACGAATCCTCTCTGCTGGACTTCGTCGGGTCTGCTCATGACGCCTGGAGCCTCTATGTGACAAGGAGAGGAAAAACCACTCATCTGCTGAGGATGGCTGGCGACCAGACAGAGGAAAAACACCTGAACCTTTCAGCTGCTAACTCAACCTATCCTAGACCCCTTCTATGTCCAGACTTTTTGTCTGGAGATATGCAACACTCCCTATTATTTATTGACTTTTTGTTTAGGTTGTCTATTATTTGCAACCAAAAGATAACTAGTTGACACAACACCAGCAGCAAAGCAAGGCAACTAATTTTCACATTAACACCCATTTTTACAAACGAAGAAAGTGAAAGGCCGATGATCTGTCATCTACAGTCACAGGGCTAGTTAAATCTAGGATACAAGCCCATATCAGCTAGGCCCCCAAACTCTCCCATTAACCACAGAAAGGAAAAAAAAAAAGACCCTTGCAAACAAAATACCCGCAAGATACCCAGCATGCTGGACACAGAGCTCATCTTTCTAAAATTAGCTCTATACTCATTGTGCCTGGGGTGAAATGGGAAGAAACCAATTTCCACAGATCCATACACTAAGCACCAAAGTTCACTGCAGAAAAAGGAAGTTGGGGACAAGTTTCCAGAAATGACATCTAAAGATGGTGATGAGAATAACCTCAGCTCCTTCCCCTTCTAAGAGGACCCGAAAAGCCATTGTGGTTGTTAATCAAGAAGGATTCCACAGAAATCAACCGGCACATGAGCGCCCTTTTATAACTGGTCCCTCAGCCAGCAGCTCCAAATC